AGCTCTACACCTTGTTATCTCATGTTTACTTCCCCTCCTTTTCTCTGATCCAATTCTCTTTCAGTTGTGAAGAAAGCCCCTGCCTGAATTGTCTGATCAGACAAGTGTTGCAGTATTTTCTGTTTGTGGTTTTGCGTCCAGGCCCAGGTCTCCAGCAGCAGGGTCTGAGACTGCACTGTCAAACTGGACTGATCTTTCTACAGCTCACCATCACCATCGTCTGGCTGAAACTGGAACTACAATGAACTGCCAGTGAAAGGGCTTGAACACATTCTACCATGTCCTTTATCTATCCAATTCCCTGGGCTCAATTTTCACTGAGCAGGCACAAAACAGGTGTTATCAGATCATCTGCGTGTTTTACACAAAGCACAGCAGGAAAAGAATAAATTCTGAACTTTACAACCAAGATTTTCAAACTGCCTGATTCATTGTACAAAACCATTTTTGTGCTTTACTTGTCGCAACACTTGTTTTATTCACAGACTGATTGAGATCTCAGAAAGTATAATCTGGAAATTCAATGACACATGTAGTGACAATTTATTGTTAATGGTGGTTTCTAATCCATGACCACTAACTTTAACTCTACTCCCAGGCTAAGGTCTTTGGGAGGTCAGGATTATGTGACCCTGAAGACCCGCTCCTTTTCTGGATCAGGATCCCAACCGGAACAGATTCTCAGAAAATGGTTTTCATCCGAAGTTCTTAAGAAAGGATAAAGTTTCTCAGTGAATTTATTCCCAGTGAAGGTGTGGAGATGGGACTTGGTGTCCACGTTGTAAAATGAAACTGTCCCAGACTCATAACTGAGATAAATGCCTACCTTCCCAGGGATCTGACCAGCAGGGAGATGAGATCGAATTGTCAAGTTTACATAAAACTGACTCCCAAAACGCCGAATGGTCCAGAATCCATTCTCCGGGATCAGATTGATTCCTTTCTTTCTCTCCACAGACTCAGAAGCAACACCTAGAATCCAACCTCGATTCCCCGCCACCTCCACCTCCCAGTAATGCCTTCCCAATGTGAATCCCTCTGATCCCAGGGCACAGGGACAGTCTGTAAACCTCTTCTCGTTGTCAGGGAGACTCCTCTGGGTACGGGCCCATCTCAAACTCTTCAGATCCTTGGACACCTCAAGCTCTGGACTCATTGTTTCTGCATCTAGGATCACCAAGACTGGGGAGAAAGAAACAGAGAACTAGAGACTGTCACTGATGATCAGAGAGAGTGCATATGTGTGTAGTGTAGACGTGTGTGGGAGGGGTGGTGCAATATGTGTAGGGAGCGAATGTATGTGGGGCAAGTAATGTATATGTGAGGGTGTGTTTGTGTTCAGAGGGTGCTGTACCAATTGGATTCCTCCACCTGAACTATACTGGAACTGTCCAGGTGAAATCATCTACCTAGGTCTGTGGAAAGATTCTTTATCTAATTAACTGAGTGGGAAGAGAATTCTCATCAGGGAGAACCTGTAAGTTAAAAAGAATGGACAAGGCAACAACATAGGGCATTGATTAAGGTCATTAAGAGAGTGACCTGAAAGGGCAGAGTTGACAAACACAAAAATGTACCTGCAAATGAGGTCAGATTAGGAGTAAAATGGAAAAGAAGACAGTATTATAGACTCTTTATCTGACTGCACATATCATTTATAATGAGAGTTCGCCAAATCTAAAGAACTAATCATTGACTTCAGAAAGAAAGGAGAACACACCCCCATCTACATCAACGGAACTGACATTGAGAGTGTGAAGAGCATCAAGTTCCTCGGAGTGATGATAACAATCTGTCCTGGAATTCCCACGTAGATGCTACAGTCAAGAAGGCACAACAATGCCTCTTCTTCCTCAGGCAGCTCAGGAAATTTTGCATGTCCATAAGGTCCCTCTCCGACTTCTACAGATGCATCATTGAAAGCATACTGTCCAGGTGTATCCCGGCCTGGTATGGCAACCGCTCCGCCCAGGACTGTAAGAAACTACAGAAGGTGGTGTGCACAGCCCACACCATCACAAAAGCCAACCTTCCATCCAGGGACTTCATTTACACAGCTCCCTGCTGCGGAAAGGTGACCAACATCATCACAACCTGTCATGACCTCCTACAACCTCTTCTGTCAGGCAGAAGATACAGAAGCTTGAACATATGCACGAGCAGGTTCAGAAACAGCTTTTTCTGGCCGTTATCAGACTGATGAATGGACTCTCTAGCCTCAAATAATACTGATCTTATCAATGTTGATCTCACCTAGCACACACCCTGTGTAATGTAACCTGTATGCCTCTGCCTAAGTCTTTTTGACCTGTACATCACTTGCTTACTATGACATGCCTGTACCGCTCGTAAACAAAGCTTCTCACTGTATTTCGGTGTAGGTGAAAATCGATCAATCTATCAATCAATTGACATTAAAAACAATTAAATGAATATGATATGATAGTCATTTCACAGAAATGGTTACGTGTGATCATTTCTGGGAACTGATTATTCTCCATATATTTGAGATTTTGGTAGGATGGGAAGAAAGGAAAAGGAGGTAAGGTAGCTCTGTTAGTAAGGAATGTTTCAGTGCAGTAGTGAGTCATGACCTCTGTTCAGAGGATCAAATGTAGATGAATTTGTGTGGACATGAGAAATAGTAAAGGAACAAAAGTTTCTGGGTATGATTTACAGGACCGCTGAAAGTAGCTGCACCATCAGTAGAGCATAAACCTGGAGATCATGGGGATTGTAAAACAGGTAATAATTGAGGAAAATTTTATTCTTAATAATGATCAATTAAATGAAACTGACAAAGGTAACAAAGAACATGAGTCCTTGAGTAGATTCAGGACAGCTTCTTAGGAAACTATGTTCTTGAACAAACATTGAACAAGCTATGTTTCAAACTGCGCATTTAAACAGGATTAATCGATGACATGTCATGAAGGGTCCTGTCGATATGAATGTTCATAAAATGATTGACTTTCACATTCATTTTAAGCATGGGAAAATTGATTCTTAAACTTAAGTAATAGCAATTTCAAAGGTATAAGGACAAAGTTGGCTGAAGTGGAATGTACAGATAGGTTTGACACTAAGATAGCAAAGGACCAGACATCTAAGGAAATATTTCAAACCCATGAACCTGCCAGGACATGTTGAAAAGTTAAAATTATCACAGTCTTAGCAGACCATAGGACTGCTCTCTCATTAGCTAGAGACAACTGGTGGCAGTTTAACTTAGGGTTCACCACACCTTTGGAATGAGGAGCGGTTGAGAAGGAGGGACCTTCATAGTAACCTCAGCCAGCATACAAATTAACCTGCACTGTTGGCATCACTCTACGTTGCAAATAAGCCATCCAGCCAACTGAGCTAACCAACATGTTGGGAGTACATATAAAATACTAGGAGGAACATTGAAGAGGAGTAGAATAAAAGAAGAAAGTAGGTTATCCAAACACTGTAATAGCATTTGTAAGCCTCACCTCAGCTGAAGTACTGTGTTCATTTCTGGGCACCAATAACGTCCCAATGATGACAGCCTTCGGTGAAAAGGATAGACCAAGAAAGTAAGGTTGTTCTCCTTAACCAGTGAAGGTTAAGAGGAGATTTGTTTAAGGTTTCTAAAATCATGAAGGCTTTTGATGGAATAAATAAGGCGAAACTATTTCTGGGCTTAGAAGTGTTGCTAACCAGAAAACACTGATTGGGGGTGATTGGTAGAAAATCCACAAGTGATATGAGGAAATGTTTATATATTCTACACAGCGAGTTGCTGTGATCTGGGATACACTGCTTGAAAAGGGAGTGGGAATGGATTCAATAGGAACAGTCTGAAAGACAATTGAATTAAACCTTTGATGGGGAATGTTTATAGCTCTTTGAAGAAATAGCAGGGAAATGGAATTAATGGGATTGTGGACCAAAGAGTTAGCACAGGCCCAATAAGCCATCTGCACTACAATGAACTTTGTTTATAAAAGTAGACATTTTGTTAAGGATGCATGTTCATTTATCCACAAGTATTTTGATTTGAAATCCAAGACATTATCATCAAAATGAATAGAGCCATTGATAAGTTTCATTGATGTACACCCATGAATTCCTGAGCAAATCAATTTTTTATTATTTTAAAAATATAAAACTAGCCTGTAAGTAAGTGCCTGAACACATATAAAAGTAAGCTCAATTTTAAGGACATTATGAAACATGCACCAGGCTCATATTCTTACCATCTCCTCAGCGAAGAGCAGAAGAGAGTTGTACTAACTTGGCAGTGCGTCGGAACCAAGAGAAAAAATACATAGCGACACAGCTGGCATAGCGAATAGTAAGCAAATAGATGAAGTCGGAGTAGGAGAGAAAGTAAGGAAGTCCAAAATAGAATTAACCTGCATATATTTAAACGCACGTAGCATAGTAAATAAGGTTGGGGAGTTACAGATGAAGATTACAATGTGGAATTATGATGTTCTAGCTGTGACAGAGACCTAGCTCAAGGAAGGGCAAGACTGGGTGTTAAGTATTCCTGTGTATAAATTGTTCAGGAAAGTTAGAAAAGGAACAAAATATGGAGGTGTGACAGTATTGGTTAAGGGACGGCATTGCCATGATGGATAAAGAAGATGTCTCAGAAGATTCAAGGACTGTCATTTTGGCTGGAGATATAGAAAAGAAAAGGGTGCAATTGTCTTACTCTGTGTAGTCTGTAGACCACCAATTAGTGGAAAGGATGTGGAGAAACATATCGACAGGGAAGTTACAGAAAATGCCAACATTGTAGCATAAGTATATGGAGGACTTCAATTATCCAAATATAGACTGGGATACTGATAGTGTAAAGGGCATATCTTCCTAAATTGTGTTCGGGAGAGTCTATATCCTGTATGTGTCCAGTCCAACAAGGAAGAATGTTGGACCTGGCCATTGGAAATGAGGGGTGCCAAGTGGATCAAAAGAAGATGAAGAATATTTAGGAGACAGTAATCATTGTATCATAAGATTCGGGTTGATGTTGGAGAATGATAGGCAACAATCTGGAGTAAGAAAATAAATTGGTGGAGCTCTGACCTCAATAGGACTAGATCAGAGGTGAGCAAGATTGATTGGAATACGGGGTTAGTGGGAAGATCACTATGGGTCACCTTCAAGAGCTGCTGGTTTTTGGTACAGTCGAGGTATATTCCTTCCAATGGAAAGGTAGGACAAACAAATCCAGATTTTCCTGGCTGACAAAGGAGGTTGTAATTAACTTTAGAAAGAAAACCCCTGTGCTTCTAATAGGTGTAAGTCAGAAAATACCATGGAGGATCAACAGGAGAACTGGATGTAAAAGGTGGGGGGAGGTGATAAAGTAAATAACAGAAGGAGGAACAATGAGAAAAGACTAGCAGCTAGCATAAAGTGAAATCCCAAAGTCTTCCACAGGCATAGAAACAGAAAGGGAGTGGTTAAAGGAGGAATAGCCGATCAGAGACCAAAAAAGGGTTACATATGGATGCAGGGGCCATAGCTGATGTGTGAAATGAATACTTTGCATCTGTCTTCACAAAAGAGGATGATGCTACGTAGTCATGGTGACCGAGGAATAAACTCTGTCACTAGAAAGGACCAAAAATAATAAGCAAAATGTCTTGGGTATATTGTTGACACTTAAAGTTGACAGGGCACTGGGTCTGGATAAGATGCATCTGAGGATTTTGAAGGAAGTGAGGGTAGAAGGCGCTATCCATAATCTTTCCACATTCTCTGGACTATGGATAGGTGCCAGAAGTCTGGAGAACTGTAAACATTATGGCCTTGTTCAAATAAAGTTGTAAGAATAATCCCAACAGTTACAGACCAATCGGTTTAACTTCTAGAAACAATTATTCTGGACAGAAGCAGTAATTACGGGGGGGAAAGGTGGATTGATTAAGAAGACCTGTTAGCCACCTGTTAGCCAAGCTCAAGGGCTGAGGCTCCTGCAGCAATTCTGCCTGGATCCCTCTACCTGCCTTAGTCGTAGTCACACACTCCTGTTCCTGACCACTGACCGAATTCCAGGTAGTTAATTTAAGTGGTGTGACTGCCTCCTGAAACAGAGCTTCCAGGTATCTCTCTCCATTCCTGATGTGTCACAGTGTTTAAAGCTCACACTCCAGCTCCACAATTCTGAGCAACCAATATTTGCTACAGATGTGGTCACTGTGAACTGGTCCATCAGCTCCCACATTATACAGGTACAACACACAACATGGCCCTGCATCTCTATTTTGTTTTCTTAGTTCATAATTTGTCTTATTTAAAAGATTCCAACTGATGTATTGGCCTTTAATGTGTAAATATTTCTCCTATTTGGCTTCAATCTAAAAGTATAATAGATAGTCAAATTAGCAGCTATTACCAAGATGTGAACTTACAGTTTACCTGTGAAGTCACTCATTGCTTTGTACTGCGACCCTGATCCTGGACATCAATTTATCCTGTTAAAATGATCTAAAAAAACAAGCACAAAAACACCTCATCCCCTCTGCATCAAATCCTCATGCTGCTCCAAAATCCCCAAAATATACACTTTCTCAGGCTGTGCCTTACTCTGGATGTGATCTTCCTGACTATCCAAAGCTTACTGCTCAAATGTAACAAGACCTAAACAACATTACCTGCAATTTCCATTCACATCATGCATTTTAAGATCTCTGACAAGAAAGAACCAAAACATCTAACCTTGACATCCAATGCCATCATCACCTGTAAATTCTTCCCTATATCAATATCTTGGAAATTACCATTGCCCAGAAACTGAACTGGACTAGCCACATAAATACTGTGGTTACAAAAGGTGGTTAGAGGGATAGTGGTCTTGGAGTGAGAAATGAACCTTCTGACTCCCCAAAGCCAATCCATCATCTACAAGATACAGGTCAAGAGCGTAATGGAATACTGCCCACTTGTCTGGATGAGTGCAACTCCACCAACACACAAGAGGCTTGACACCATCAAGCCTGCTTATTCGGCATCATGTTGGCAAAGGATTCACTCAAGGGCAGTAGATACATCACAATGCAACTACATGCAATTTCCCCTCCAAGTCTCACACCATCCAGACTTGGAAATACATTGTTGTTCCTTCAGATTCACTGAGTTAAAATCCTGGAACACTCTTGCCTTAATGGCTTTGTAGATCATCTTCCTTCAACGCATGAACATCATCCTGAGCTTTCTGCCAGTTGACATTTAAATTCTCCACATTGCTACCTTTCTAACTTTCCTGTCCCATCCTCCTGCAGCATTCCAGTGAGGCTCAAAGTAAACTTGAGGAATAACAGTTCGTCTTTCGATTCGGTTCTTTACAGCCTTCTGGAATCAATGTTGAGCTGAACAATGTTGGTTTCGAATGTCTTTGATTTGAGCTTTTTTATTTCCATTCTGTTTTACTTTTCCCACCACCACTTCTTTTGGCTTTTATCATTTCATCTCTCCTGCCATCGGGCCTCTCAGAAACCTTTCCTTCAAGCTTTCTCACCCTGTTCTCGGCCAGGTCCTCTAATTTTTCATACGCTTTCAATTTCTTCAGATCTGATGATAGATCATTGACCTCAAATATTAATTCTGTTTGCCTCTCTACAAAAGCTGCCTGGCTTGTTGAACATTTCCAGCAATTTTTGTTTAGGTCAGATTTTCTACAGCTGCAATGTTTTACTCATGGAAATCTAATAACCTGGTTGTGATTGTAGTTATATTGCCAAGTTTCCCAGGCCCGAATCATGGAGTTGCCTCTGTTCTCACTCAAGCCTAACAGCATGCACTGGAGAATAGAGCCCAGGCACCTTTAACTTAGCCACAGTCATGATAATACATATGAACATTGGCTTTCTTCATTGAAGCAAACTAATTTCTTCAATGTTGAGTAGAAAATACTGATCAAGAATGTAATATTTCCATCTGGTCCATGGAAAGAAATAATATTTGATATATGGCCACATGAGGAGCTGGTTATTCAATCTGCTGCACGACAGTAAAAACTCCACCATATTACTCCCCAGATACATGAAAGATGTTTCCTCAGGCTCATTGAGAGGATAGACTTTGCTGACACTTTCAGGAAATGGGGGGATTGTGATCCAGTTCTAACTAACCATGTCCAGAGTGAGCACCAACTGACTCTACCTTCCCCCCGCCACACCACTCCTCCTCTCCCAACAGGCAGACAAAGCTTCATTCACAGGATCCCTGTTGTGGATATGAGGGTGACACACAAGCTGGAGATGTACCAGGAGGATGAGGATTGGAGAGAAGGAAAAGTTCAACATGCTAGTTGGGGTTTCCACTTGGTGAAGTTTGTAAAGTATGAATGGATTCTGCAAATATAAATTTACCTAAAATTTCCTGTGTTGTTGATATTTTGCAATCTGGCAGTTTCAGCTGACCAGTTGATGATGAGGTTTTTTGAGAAAGTCCATCAGGTACATGAACAAGTACTTAATTCCTTTCATTGATGTTTTTAGCCATGTTATTGTGGGATCATTATCCATTTGAAGGTAGAATATCAAAGGCACATCAAGTGAACTGGCATCAGCAGCTGCTGAGAACCACTCTGTGCCATTGCTACCAACCCAGGCACCCAGTGAGTGATGTGAACGGGAGGGGCATGTGATGAAGATCAGGTGGGAGCCCCTCTGACGTCCCTCTTTTCATTGCTGACATATGTTCCTGGGTTCAAACATGATTGGGGCCTCAAAAGGTGTAAACAACCTACCCAGTGATGTCGTTGTTCAATTGAGTTGCGGATCTCTGTGTGGCCATTAGCTCTCAGTCGGCAGGGTTCCCTTAGTCCATCATTTACTTGTGGCTTAGATGGCTTGATCCCAAAGACTCACACTGCCATGTCATGTCCCTGAATGACACTTCATGCAAAAAGGCTTCTCTATAAGTGTTGAAGCAGGACTCTCACTGGTTCTCTAAGCAACAGTCAAGACACCTCCATTAAGCACAGTCTCTATGATACTTGAATGCATTTAAGATTATAAAATATAAATCAGGATAGAAAAATATATGAGTTTTACCAGGGTTAATGACCTCCAGCATTTCGCTCCACACTGGGTATGGTAAAGGGCCTTGGAATTTTCCAACGGTCAGGGCACCATCTGCTAGTGATAGCGCATTAACATCATCACTAATCCTGTAAATATTAAACAGTTCATTATAAACTGACAATAAACATTTTTCTGAGTAATTTCACCAATTTGCACTGAGTGTCAGTAAAGTACATGTCCTACCTCCTCTTTTGAGATGCTTCCTCCTGAAATAAACAAAACACCAAACTTAGTTGACAGAAACTACCTGTCTATATCCAGAAAGCAGCAATTACACTCACATTGTTACAAGCTGCTGAGAATTACCAATTCTGATTGCTGCAGACATGGAATATAGAAAGGATGCTACACTAAGCATATTGAAACACATAACCAAATATTAATGAAGAGATACAAGAACTGAGAGGGTACAACTAAAAAACAGCAAATTCTATGATCCCAGCTGATGATGATACCAACCAAGTCAAACTCAAGAGAGAAACTCCTCTTGATAGTCTCTAACTTTGATTTCTTTTTAATTATGGAAGTCAGTTACTGAACATATTCACGAGAGTCAGATAGTATACATATATTAAACAAGTAAAAAAGAAATCAATATTACAGTCATTAAAAAGATTGGAAACATTTAATTACAAACATCAGAAAGGTATTCAAATTCACACTATTCCTGCTTTCCCAGTAATAACATCAAAACCTCAATGAATATTTACCACTATCACCAGATCAAAGGTTCTTGCTCAGGCTGGCACACCTCAAACAGGTTTTTCTATACACTCACTGGGATTTCTTTTTCTTCAGATAGTATCTTTCCTGAGACACCTAAAGTATCTGATAACTAAACTCACTATGACTTTAACTTCAGAGCAAACTTGAGATCCTGAAAGTATTGTTTCCATTCTTTGGTACACGATGTAACTGATTCCCTTCTGATGATTTCTGTCTCTGGGTGTCCTCGATCCCCGTCATTAGACTACAGAACAGCTTTTTCCTGATTTCTCAGAGTGCACTAAACTACTAACACTCATCCTTTCACTTCAAGATTTGTTAAATCCAGTTAAATGTCGATAAAATTAGATTTTTTCTTCTTTTTCACTCGTTTCTGGTCAATAGACTGGTCAATAGGAAATTGTGCCTTTTTTGTTACTTAGCTAACCAATTAGATTTTGTCCTAGAACACCCTGAGACTTCTTTTTTCTCCAGCACTGTAGTGCTCTCTGTTCGCCAATACTGCTATCCCTTCTCCTTCCTTTCTTTTCCTAACTTTTCTGAAAACTGGAACCAAGAAATTTTCATACCAAGTTTTGCCCTTCCTTGAGTCAGGTCTCTGTTATTGTCATGACATCAAAATTCCACATGGCAATTCCCCAGTCTTCTCTTCCATATTGAATACATTCACATATTTGCGCAGTAACTGAATTTATAAATAACTTTATTTTTTCATTACTCTCATTTCAGCTGCTAACATGCTATTGTCTATGTTAGTGCCAGCTACATCCCTCAAGTATTTCATGAACAATCGTCTTCTGTACTATTCTCCCTTGGTTCCCAAATCCTGCCAAGTTACTTCAATAGTTGACAGCACTAGCAAAACACCTTGCAAGGAATTCAGTCCCAGCTCTCTTCAAAATAACAAAAGCAACAGATGTGTTTCTGTGAAAGCAGGATAAGATCATGAAGGACAAAGGAGCAGATATTGACGTGGGAATGAAGGAGCATGGGAGGAGTCTCATGTGAATCGTGTTGTGACTGTTGCTTTCACTGAACTAAACTGAAATATAATCCCATACCTTCAGAAATATCACTCCGTCTTTTTGTTCCAACTGGCTTTCCAACTTTAAGAGTTTCTCCTGAATAGACTTTAAATTCTCTTGAATTTCACAAAGATTTTCCTTCATTGCTTTCAGAATCCTCTCCTCTTCTTCCCTGACATCTTGGAGTAAATGCTGCTCTTTTTCAGTGAGAAACTGATGCATTTTAATGAACTCGAATGTGATGTGGGCCTGCAGATTGCTCGCCTGTTTCTGTGAAATGAAAAGCGACAAATAATTATTCTTCAATAGAAGTAAAAAAAAGGTGATCAAATTTTGAAGCTGAGTTCAGGGAGATTTTACCTTAATTTGGGAAATCTTCTCTTTCTGCTGCCACTCCACTTCTAGAGCCGCCAATTTCTTCTCTGTGAGAGAACCTAAGGAAGATTTCATCTGATCCTGAGATTGGGAGAGAAAATCAGAAAATAAAACTGTTAAAACAGTTAGGTCATGAAAATGTGATGAAATAATCAGGAGATGAAATTTCTTTCGTTTTACCTTGCAGATTCTCACAGCTTCTTTAATCGGGATGAAGCGGTGCTCTCTGTGTTCCCACGAATCTACACAATTGATACAGATCAATTTCCTGTCAGTTTCATAAAACAGCTTCAGTTCTTCCTGATGTTCCTCACAGTGAAGTTTACTTCCCTGCTCTTGCTGATTCTGATTTAATTTTCGAACCTTCTCGGCCAGATTCGCTAAGGGCCCATTTACCCTGAGGTTTCTTTCCGTAATCTTCTGTCCACATTCCAGGCAGGCATTTATCTCCTGCTTTTCCCAACTCTGGGTGATACGGGAGCAGCAGAAGTTGTGTCCACACTCCAGTGAAACCGGTTCGGTGAAGAAATCAGCACAAAGAGGACAAATTGCTTCTGCGCTTAAACTCTGGACCTTCTGTCTGGAATCCATGTTCACACTCAGCACTTCCTAATTCAAACTCCTTTTATTTAGATGATATTGCCTCTGCGACCACCTTCAGTTCAGCAATTTCCCAATGAAATTTGGTGCTAGACTCGGGGAATTATTACTGTACATTAATCTCATCCACTGTTACATGGCAAGACCAAACCTGGAGTAGCAATCAAGAGTGAGATGAAGGTCCATGGAGGTGAAGGACCATGGTGTCATGGGAGTGGCTAGAAGGAAGAGGGGAAGAGGTAAAATTTTAACCCTATATGTGCCAGTAATCTTGCTGATCTCTTTCATATACTTCAACTCTCAGACTGTGAGCATCTCCACAGGAGTGGGTGTTGAAGATGTGCTTAACCAAGTGGGACACACAAATTGTACAGTGCACACTAATTTTACCTTTAATCCCACAATAATGTTCATTATCTCACTGGTCACTTTGGGAGAGACATGTGCCTCCCTCTCCCTCGCTGGACAATAAGTATAGCTCTGTAGAAGAAAAATAGAGGCCTTTGAAATGTGGAAACTGAGACATACATAACAAACTGGTAGTTTCTGGAATACTCTGGCAGTGTCCTGTGTATGTTCGACTTAATTTTCAAACGTTGGTCTTGTGATTGTATCAAGCAGTAATTCTTATTTATACAATGCTTTTAGTGCAGTAACATGTTCCAAAGTACACCACAAGATTTTTATCAAACTAAATTGGAAACTGAACAACATGAGGTGATAATGCTGCGAGTCACTGAAATCTTGGTTGATGTGTTTTAAAGGAGGAAAATGAGAGAGAGAGAGGGGGAGAGCTTTATGCAATAGGAAAGTTTTTTTTTGCACGACATTCAGAAGATTTGTGTCCAGAGCAGTTGGCAGCAGATGGGATATCAGTGTGAGAACATGATGCAGAATTAGATTCTTCATCTTAAACCAGGAATGAAAAGTGACCTGATAAAAATAACATCATTTCTTCCAAAGTTCCCACTTGTCATGAGACCACAACCAACTCCCGAATGCAGAACATAGGCTGCTCCCTCTAGGGGCAGTTCACTGAAACACATACACCTGTCTCCCCAGCCTGGGAATCTGACAGACATAGGCAGAGAATACACAAGTCATTCATCATACCGTGTCTCTGAACCGGGAACCGAAAGATCAGCCAGGAGCTCTGTGAAGCTGGGAACAGATGGAGGGACAGTGAATAAACAAATGGATGAGGGATAGTGGAGAGGGAGTTAGTGGGTAGAATGAATGGGCAATAGTGGAGAGAGAGTTAGTGTGTAGTGAACTGTGACCTGCTGGAAGCTGGGAAGCTGCTGCATGGAATGTTGTTCCACAGGAATAGGATCAAGGTCCGTTGCTGGATTTCAGACGGACTCCAGCTTGTAGTTCCCTCCTCCAATGTGTCGGGACAGGAGGGATCCTCCAATCACAGCCTTTCTGTTTCTATCTGATCCTCCAATCACAGCTTCACTCAATCCACCACTTCTCGAATCAGAGCTCACTCTCTCTGACTGATCATTAAATTACAAGCTCATACCATTCAATCACAGACTTGCTGTCTCCTGATGATCCACCAATCACAGCCTCACTCTAACCGGATGATCCTCAAATCACAGCCTCATGCTGTGGAGCTGATCCTGGGAAACTATCACAGAACTATACCGATTGCTGGTGCATGTTCTGCAATCTGAGATGGAGGCAGTTCACCATCCTACCTCAGTGGCCAACCTGGTGACAGCTTCTCTAAGTCATATGCTACTAGCTGCTTCCAAGGATCTACTGGGGACCTTTGTGGCATCTCACAACCCTCACTGCTTCAGCTAGTTTCCCTGTGAAATACAAAATGTCAGCATCAGTCTGCAGCCTGGGCAGTGGGCTTTGATAACATAGCTGGCTTCCCCCAGGTGCAGGGTGGTTACAGACTGTACACATGCTGCATCGAGAGTGCCATGTCATAACATAGCAGAGTTTACTAACAGAGAAAGGTTCCATTCTATCAATGTGCAAATTAAGTGTGATTATCAATACCACATCTACAAAGTCTGAACCAGGTAACTTGGAAGTTGTCATGATGCTGATGTCTTTGAGATACAGACCTTAAAGTGAGGTTATAAGTTAATCACAATGGTAGCTTTGAGAAGGAGGGAACCCAAGGTAACAGGGACAACAAGGTGCAGGGCTGGATGAACACAGCAGGCCAAGCAGCATCATAGGAGCAGAGAGGCTGACGTTTCGGGCCTAGACCCTTCATCAGAAAGGGGGAGGGGAAGGGGGTTTTGAAATAAATAGGGAGAGAGTGGGAGGCGGATAGAAGAGGGATAGAGGAGAGGATAGGTGGAGAGGAAACAAACAGGTCGAAGAGGCGGGGATGGGGCCAGGAAAGGTGAGTGTAGGTAGGGAGTTAGGAAGGGGATAGGTCAGTCCAGGGAGGACGGACAGGTCAAGGGGGCGGGATGAGGTTGGTCGGTAGGAGATGGAGGTGCGGCTTGAGGTGGGAGGAGGGGATAGGTGGGAGGAAGAACAGGTTAGGGAGGCAGGGACGAGCTGGACTGGTTTTGGGATGCGGTGGGGGGAGGGGAGATTTTGAAACTTGTGAAATCCACATTGATACCATTGGGCTGCAGGGTTCCCAAGCGGAATATGAGTTGCTGTTCCTGCAACCTTCGGGTGGCATCGTTGTGGCACTGCAGGAGGCCCAGGATGGACATGTCATCTGAGGAATGGGAGGGGGAGTTGAAATGGTTCGCGACTGGGAGGTGCAGTTGTTTGTTGCGAACCGAGCGTAAGTGTTCTGCAAAGCGGTCCCCGAGTCTCCGCTTGGTTTCCCCGATGTAGAGGAAGCCACACCGGGTACAGCGGATGCAGTATACCACATTGGCAGATGCGCAGGTGAACATCTGCTTGATGTGGAAAGTCTTCTTGGGGCCTGGGATGGGGGTGAGGGAGGAGGTATGGGGGCAGGTGTAGCACTTCCTGCGGTTGCAGGGAAAAGTGCCGGGTGTGGTGGAGCTGGAGGGGAGTGTGGAGCGGACAAGGGAGTCACGGAGAGAGTTGTCCCTCCGGAAAGCAGATAAAGGTGGGGAGGGAAAGATGTCTTTGGTGGTGGGGTCGGATTGCAGATGGCGGAAGTGTCGGAGGATGATGCGTTGGATCCGGAGGTTGGTGGGGTGGTACGTGAGGACGAGGGGGATTCTTTTTTGGTTCTTATTGCGTGGACGGGGTGTGAGGGATGAGGTGCGGGAGATGTGGGAGACACAGTTGAGGGCGTTCTCGACCACCGAGGAGGGGAAGTTACGGTCCTTGAAAAACGAGGACAACTGAGATGTACGGGAGTGGATTTTTCGGCTAAGCGGATGAGGGTGTCAGTGACACCCTCATCCACTTAGCCGAAACTCGTCCTCACACTCAACAACTTCTCTTTCAATTCCTCCCACTTCCTACAGACAAAGGGGGTAGCCATGGGTACCCGCATGGGCCCAAGCTACGCCTGCCTCTTTGTAGGTTACGTGGAACAATCCCTCTTCCGTACCTACACCGGCCCTAAACCCCACCTCTTCCTCCGTTACATTGATGACTGTATCGG